TAGTGAGGAACATTCAGTAGATTCTTTTTCACTGAGGCAGTCTTTGTTTTTCAAGAGCAAACCCTGTTTGAACACTTTTATGTGCAGCTAGTTTCATACTTGAAGGGCTGGCTGTACCCAGCGTGATCGTACACTTTATGAAGGTCAGTTTGAAAAAGCAACCCAAAGATGATCACAGTAGCTGAACTAACAGTTAGAACTTTAACCTGAATAGTTTGCTTGTTTTTTTCTGCTAGACCAGGTTTGTCAAACATAACCCCCGTGGGCCAGAACTGCCTGGACGAAGACTCCAATCCTCCAATCCAGTCATGCTACACCAAAACAATTAGCTAATAGATAAACAATTAAAGGACAGAAAAAGGCACTTTTTTTTTTTTTTACAATCTGCTATAGAAATTTTAGTCTTTTTTGACAATGGGTCTAAACATAAATCATGTCACTATAGATTAATTTTGCTTTATATCCCTGTATGTGATTGTGATTCAGCATGGCCTTCACTCAACCTGAGTTTGACATTCCTGCTCTACAGGACAAGAATGCTCAGCACACACACCCTGATTCTTTAGCATGTGATTGCAGAGCAAATTATCAGTCTTGCTTTCAGGCTTACATCGAATGACAACATGTCAGGTGTGTGTTCAGACACACCTGTAATAAAAAAGAAAGACACAGGAATGTCTGAACTGGGGCGGTGTTGTCATTATTTTAATCATCTGGAAACAAAGCCTGTTGATGCAAACCTATAAACTGTTGTCATTACATAATGACGTGTTTGGCTTTTAATGCCAGTGTTTTTAATTGATCGTGTTACAAAGTTAGGGCTAGTTAACCTGCATCTATAATGTTTAACCAACCTTTAACGAAACTACCCTAAGAAAAAAGAAAAAAAAGCTAAACACAGGACACTATCTTTTCTTACCCGTTTTATTTTTAAATGTATTTTATCTGTATTTACTGGTGGGTGTTTATTCCTTTTAATTTCAGGATTATCTTTACTTCCTGGTCTATATTTGTCTCATTTGTGTTTTAGCCCTGATTCATCCACATAAAGAAGCTCAGGCCAAGACAAAAACGTGTGACGCCTGTTTTGTCAGTCCCCCATACTTGCGGTGTTGTGATTTTGTAAAACCCTCCCATTTACTATAACTCAGCTGACATACTGACACACTGAGTTGAGCACCATCTGCTGGCCAAATTAAAAAAAAAATCTTACAGAATGATTATTACTCTCATAGCAACAAAAAAGTCTTTTGTAACTTTTCACCTGTTTCTTTCTCCTCTTCCCTTTTTTTTTTGGTGATAAATAACACTTAAAGGTTTAAATCTGTGAAATAAAACTAGGGTAAAAAAAATAATAAAAAAGGAGCAGGACAGAAGCAGAAGTTAAAAAAAACAGAGATTTATTGGTCAGAGCTGAACTTTCGCTTCTGCTTCCACCAGGTCCGGCCTCTAGTAGCGAGTAGAAAGTCACTGAATGAGCACAAGGGTTTTCACACTTACTCGGTATGATTGAATGATGACGGAGAGGAGCGAATAACTAAGGGTGAGTAATTCCCCATGTTTTGAAAAATCCACTCGATTCTCTTACTAGTGTTTATGTGAATGTCTTGCAACGAGTTTGTAATGGTTTCAAACTTTAATGTAGTGTCTGTCTGGTTCAAAGAAGACACAACATTAGGCATCCTTTAAATTAGTATAAATTGCAGTTTAGGGGAACAACAGAAGCTACTAAAGTCTCTAATACTTCACAGTGTTCACTAAAACAAAGTCCACAGAGGTAGCTTTCACAGCAGGGCTGTCGTGTTTCTGCATTGTTGATACGTTTCTTTTATTTTGCCGACTTTCTGGAATTTTTGTAGCGTGTCAAGGCCCCTGGAAAAACAAAGAGCGTGGTTTCCTGTGTAGGCGTTGAGGTGTGTGTTGAAAAGCTAGTTCTCTGAATTTCACCTTTTAAAATGGACATTACCAGAGGCACTTTAGTTCCTCCTAACATACGGTTCAACTTCCTCAATGACTGAAGCAATAAAGAAAATCAGTATTTATGATGCTGCTGGCAGCAAATTGAACAGATGACCACATAATAAGGTAACACCTGACAGAAGTAAACATTTTTCAAAGGGGAACACATTAAAACTCACTTAATGGCATGAAAGTCTTTAGCTAACGCTTCTGCTCTTTGGGTACCAATTTTGGCATTTCAAGCCAAATAAACCCAGAAAAGTATTTATTTTACCTACTTCTTATTTGTATATGGGTAGGCATGTTGAATGAAGCAGTGCCACACTGAATGCCATTCACACACACATTCACACACTGGTGGAGGCAAGCTACAGTTGTATAATAACAAAAGAAATTTCCCTGCTGTCTTCATTTATATAATATTCTAGTGAACTATGGCACTGCGCAGCTCTCCCACTCACGTGGAGATTGGAGACTCTGATCTGGATGACTGGGAAGTAAAAGGCTCTGGTGGTTTTGGACAAGTCTACAAGGCCAGACATCAAAAGTGGTGCTGCGATGTGGCCGTTAAACTGCTCCACGATGACGATGG